CGGTACGTTCGGCCATGTCATCCTTGAAGTAGATATGCCTAAATGGATGGATTTTTAATGCATAATTTCAAAATACCGATATTTAACTCTGTGTGCCCATTGATCCCTCTGCAGAGCAATAATTGTATCAATTATGGCAGTGGTCAAATAAAATTCAAAGTATTATCTATCTAAGTGTTTTCAATGATTCAGCTAACCTGGTGACTTTATGAACCAGGTTTTTCGGCTGGTTAGATTTTAGGATTTCAAATGGGCAACAGCCTTTAGTTCATTACAGCAAGTAACTAGTATCTTGTACCTCTATGTTCTAACTTCAACTGCGAACCATGGACATGGAGTGTGATTTTTATTATCATGGTGCGTACGTAGCATGAGTCTCTTTTAAGAGTCACTAATGAGAGTGTTAGAGCTTTTTGTAGCATTGTCAAGTGTACATTTTTTTTCAGCGGTAAGACACAGCGTTTGAAGGAAAGCACCAAAGACCCCACAGACGAAGGCAGGGTAAACCCATCATTCTCCCATGATGCATCAGAAACCGGAAGTGTGGCGAAAGGAGGACTTCCGGAGTTCCATGGTCCATTGGAGACTCAACATATTACCTCAGTGTGACCAGCTTTCTCTAGTTCAGTATTCTCAGCGTTTGACTCCAACAGGAATTTGAAAACAAAATTATCAACTTTTATGTCTGTAATGTGTGATGAATCTACAGTGTAAACTTCAAACTTAATCATGAATAAACAAAAGCTCAAGCAAAAAAACACATGGGTGTCTCATGTGATTTAAGATTTCTGGTAGTAGAAAGAGATCTGAAGAATGATTTTTAAATATTTGTGTTGATTAAGGGTGTTTGGTCAACAGTATGAGCGATCTCTTATTTCCAAACCTTGCAAAGTGTTCTAATGACGTCTATGGTAGATTTGAGTTAGGTCAACTTAGGTCAGCTTGAACGTGCTGTCAAATACGACCTGTGTCCCCTATTGTAGGTCGTGGTAGAAAGTTGGACTTTCTACCATAGCTTGGCAGACTGTATGCTGAGTTCGTTAATGTTTGAAAACAACAGTCACCGGTACCGGCCCCCGTCCAGTATCGCAAAGTAAATCTTTCTGGAGATAACGCAGCAGACAAAGGAAGCAGGGTTCTCAGCGAAACATAATCATCACTAAACCGCGTCCCTGCCCGCTAAGATGGTGAATTTCGACGCTTCGCTGAAATACATCGGTTCGTACGGTAAATATCAGAAGATCACGTATTACGTTGTTTTGGCGCTATGCTTGACTTGCCCATTCCATCAGTTGGGCAGCTCGTTTCTTGACGCCGAGGTGGACTACCACTGCGCCGTGCCCGAGTCACGAGCGGCCGAACGGCTTCCGAACGAGACCGAGTGTGTGTGGAACTACTCCATACCCTGGGAACGGTCTACGGAAGGTGGCACATGGAGATACACCCAATGTTCAAGGTAGGGATGATAAGAAGATAATATTCAGAAATTTTACTGCCGCTTTCAAAAGAAAGATATTCCTTTTAGTGTTATTTTTTACGAAACAGAAATACAGCCTGATACAATTTACTTATACTATACACATGTATACAGTCATCAAAGACGTACTATATAGCTACGTTCTTGACATGCGTAGTGCTAGAGTCATGTGATTGCAGTCGCCATATTGAATACAATGCGGGTAGAACTTGGTCAAGAAGTGGGTGGAGTCAAGGTTACGTGTTGTCATCATATATTGCTGTGTAGGCAAAACCTATCAACTCAGAAGTTTCCAGTCATGATGAAGAAGGCTGGAGGTTGATAAGCCGTTTAACCTTGACAAAGATATCTTAAAATATGCATAGTTGTACGCACGTTTAGATGTTAACTTTGACAATGTCTTAGGTTGAACCAAGTCGCAAGAGGACTTGAGTTAGGGCCTGGTCACAAATACGTCGTACGATTGCAAAGCTGGGGGATTCTTGGAATAGTGGCGTCCGTGTCCTGTGTGATTTAGCTGCTTTGCCACGGAAAAGGCTGTCTTTAAGCTAGAACTTTGTCGACGGTTGCTTGAAAATTCTACGGCAACACGATGACCTACGATGAATGTGATCTGGCCGTTACAGTCTCACTGAGTCAATACCATTATTCTAACACCTGATTAGATAAGGGGTATGTTACTCAGTAGTGTCTTTCTGTGTCATTACTATTTACTTCGTCAGTAGAAGCTAAAAAAACTTTAAAAGTTTCGTATACACAGTTCATTCGTAAGACCACACCCAGCTTTCAAAGGCCACAGTCTTAGTCTACCACGAAAAAACATAGAAAATACACATAACACATTCACAAGGTGTTGTTACCCCTTCTGGTGGTGCCTTTGTGATGTCTGTTATGCAACATGAGTTAATCATTGAAGCGTCTATTCAGCGCCCTGTCCTTGTAACTAAGTAGGCAACACACTCTCTGCACTGAGTCAATAACTATTGAAGGTCTTTTAGATCAACACGATTAAAGGTCAATTTGTTGACCTACGTTAACAACAAAGGGACATTGTTTTGATTGAATTATAAGTAACGTACTGTTCTATATAGTTTACAACCGTCGTTATATGTACATGTACCCTGAATGAAGTCTTCGAAGTTCTATATTCACAACCAAAGGGGTTTGTTTACAAGTTTTGGTGACCTTAACCTTTCTCAGGGCAATATTATTGCAGCTAGGTGCCGCTGTTGTAGTGTTCGGATGCAGCCCCAAACGTATTGTCACACCTATGTACATAGATATTGTCAAACAGAAATGATAAGGAAGTGATAAAAATATTGTCGTTATTGTGTCAAACGGTCTTTGAAAATAGAGGTCGTTTGAAAAAGAATCCAACAAGGTAACTATTGTATGCTCCATACTTAGTTAATGTAGTCTTTAACGTATCGTGTAACAAAAATAAAGCAGAAAAAAGATAAATGTTACTGTACCATTTCTTTTACAGGTACACTGTGACGGCATATGAGTTGGGCAACTTGAGCTGCCCCTATGACGCCCTCAACATCACCAGAAATGACACAAGACCGACAAAAGGATGTGATGGGGGATACTGGTATGATACTAGCCAGTATAAAAGTAGCATCTTCATGGAGGCAAGTCACCAAAACATCTCTGTTATTTATCACGTGTCATCATCAAGTTAATACTTTTAGAATTAGAAACGTCATTATTCTTGTCATTATAGTGAAAAACTGACCACACAATATGCAAACAGATCTATTTCTTTATGTTTTGTCTACAGTTCAATCTTGTGTGCGAGAAAAGTACCCTGAACAGCCTGTCACAGTCCATTTACATGGCAGGGGTCCTGGTTGGAGCCATCGGGTTTGGACAACTTTCGGACCTGTGAGTTCTGCGTCTTGATAGTGATTGCTTAAACGTTTGGAAAGATGGAAGGTTCTATCAAATTTAGTTCAACCTTGTCAAGTACATGTAAAAAGCGAACTTTTCTTATGTTCAATTACTACACTATGTTTTAATGTTTCATAAAATGCATTAAGAAACATATTGGCACTAACACTTTTTATTATTATAGATTCATTGTGACATTTAATGTTTCCATTGTAGAATCGGAAGAAAGAAGACACTTTTCATCAGTCTGTTGCTGATGTTGGTGTTTGGGGTCGTGGTAGCCTTCTCTCCAGAATACATCACTTTCGTCATCATGCGATTTATTGTCGGTGCTTCAGTGTCAGGGGTCTTTCTGTCGGCTTTCGTCATAGGTGAGTGCTGCAAAAAGTAATGCTTAGTCCATTTCATTAAAACAAGGCTAGCGACGACATCTTAACAACAGAACCAAGATATCGCAATGTATCTTTACTTCCCTAACGGAAGTATTGTTTTGGGCGGCGCTGATTTGCAAGAGGGTTACATGTATACGTTTTTGTCCGCAACAACAATGATTGGAAGTGGGTGGGTGGAGATTGGGGTTTAGTTGATGGACAGGGTTGTGACCCGGCACACCCTCGTGTTAGAATGTGGTATGAGGTCTCCAGTAATGTGTACTGTATGATCAGGGTATGAAACTTAGACCATTATGTTATACTAAGGTACGTTATAGAACCGTATGCTTTTGAGTAATAATCCATTTTTTGCAATACATATACGAAACCTCCAAACACTTCCTGGAAGTCTGATCTCCGATTTCTTGTTAGGTACGGAGTTAACCGGACGAGAAGACAGAACATGGACGGGAACACTGCCACATATCTCCTTCGCCATCGGCTACATGCTGTACGCTCTGATGGCGTGGGGCATCCGGGACTGGCGTCAGCTCCAACTCGCCATGGCTCTTCCTAACATCATACTGCTCTTCGCATGGCCGTACGTTGTCACGATCACTTTTGCAATGTTCAAGAGTTTTTAAACATTATTATGCTACGCTTAGGTTTCCCATTTTATGCTAATATAGATAGTATGTGATACCTAAATTTAGAACTATTTCAGTAGATATTGAAATGGGTTTGGAAACAGAATAAGGAACAAATATCTGTTTGCCTCAGAAGCTAGCAAGCATCTTCCTTACTAATTTTTTAACGAAAGCTTTGACAGACTGTTGCATCATATTGCCAGTGAGGTTTTAGGACAAATTGTCGGGTTTAGGAGGTGTTGATTAATTAAACTTGATAAATCTAATATTCTATACTATGCTTGCTTTGAGATCAAATTATCATTATTGTATTTGTAAACTTCAATAGTTTTGTGATTGAGTCTCCAAGATGGCTGCTGTCACGTGGTCGTGATGAGGAGGCCAAACAGATTCTACTCAAGGCGGCAAAGGTCAACAAGGTCACCATACCTGATGAAGTCCTGGAGGAGAAAGCACACAAGAAGGTACACATACATGCTCTTGTGTACACTCTTCATACAAAAATATGCTGATCTTAATCAAAACAAACATCATTTGTTGGTACACGAAATGTGATACCCTTAAACGTTTCAATTATTTCAAAGATTACAAGGTCTACACTAATAGTCCCACGGAAAAAAATAGCAGCACTAAAAAGCTGACATCCAGGCTAAGGAAATGTAACTTTTCCCCCAACAGGACGTCAAGCAATACACTGCCATTGACCTAATCCGCACCCCTCATCTGCGACTCATGAACATCATCTGTTGCTACAACTGGTAAGTGTTGCTACAACTGGTAAGTGTTGCTACAACTGGTAAGTTGCTTGACTTGGTAAGATTAGCTTTCTTGAGTAAACTTACGTCTTAGGAAAACTTTAATAAATTGCCTCCTTGACCAGCATACATCATTGAATATCGCTTACAGTATGCCAGGCCCTACTTGTGTTGAGATGATGCATGTTTATAAGTATTTGATCTGACTCCAGCTCATTCAAACTCAATGATGCACTGTTTGCAGGATGGTAGTTTCCATGGTGTACTATGGCCTGTCCCTGAACACCGGCTCCCTTGCCGGTAACATCTACCTGAACTTCTTCATCAGTGGAGCTGTGGAGATCCCCGCCTACTACCTGTCATGGTGGCTCCTGGATATCATAGGGAGGTGCGCATGTGTTGATATATCTCTTCCCATCATGCCTTGCAGTGTTTTATGGAAATTAGCCTATGATAAAAAAAACTATTCTGATGCTTATCCATATTCTACATCCTGTATGATCTTCATAAAAAATGACCTAGAAAAATTTATTCCTTTTCAGAATTAAATGCCACACAGGTTTCATGATTCTGTCCGGAGTAGCCTGCATTGTGGCACCGTATCTGGCGCCCCCTTACGTCGCTGACCGTAAGTACAGTTCATGTGCAACAAGTTCGATTAATTTACAACTAATCTAAGCTTACAGTTCATTTCTTTAACAAGAAACTTGTTATGTAGAAGTACTTTGATTTAACAACTGTTATAGATTCTTTTGCCATTTCTATTCGCTGGTAACCTCGCTAACATATCTCTCGACCAGATAAGTAGTGCTTCGTTGCTAGATATATAACGAGCCTGATTGCTACAACTGCCTCAAGAAGGAAGAAGAAGTTGAACCTGTAACTAGTAGTTCATATAAATGTGTATAGTTTTAGCAAGATACTACTGTAACTTTAACTTCTGCTTTACTTATAACTTGTAAGAGTATAAAGGTACAATAAAGGTCTTTCATTAATTGATTTCCATACAGACCTGGCTCCCCTGTCTGTCACCCTGGCGATGATAGGGAAAGCAGCGATCAGCGCGGGGTTTAACATCGTCTTCCTGCTGTCTGCAGAACTCAACCCGACAGCTATCAGGTGAATAGCGCCATCTAGCGGTTTTATGCTTTCAATTTCAATAGAATGAAAGAAGTTGTTAACTCTGTGTCAGTGTTTTGTGTATATATATGGAAAACGTGAATGATCAGTTTTACGAATGATTCAAATTCCATAGACTTACTTCTCTTACTTAATTTGAGTAGATTGATCTCAATAGCCACTACAGGTACACTTGAATAAAGACTAAATTCTTCAAAACATCTGAATAATCTTGATTGCATTTCCCTTCCCAGATGAGCTAAATGCATATGTGACCATATGTGGTCAACAGGGTGTGATACACCGAGTATAGAACACAGAAATGCTAAATTCTAACACTAAGTACTGAAAGACAATCGTGTATCATGTAAATATCCTCAGGAATGTTGGAGTGGGGGCCGGGTCCATGTTTGCTCGACTCGGAGGCGTCATCTCGCCGTTCGTTGTTCTCACCAACAAACTCTGGCTGCCCCTGCCTTTCCTCATCTTCGGCGGCCTGTCTATTATCGGGGGCGTGAGCGTGGTCATCCTGCCTGAAACACTGGGGGCTGAACTACCTGAGACACTTGAAGAGGGGGAGAACTTTGGAAAGTAAGGATTAGGTTTCAATATTCTTGAAGTGCACGTGGGAGGGGGGGCATGGCATCTTTTGTGCAACAAGTATAAACCTTTTTCACTTAATACTTTAAAGTGTGTCAGTGGCATGACATATGATAGGAGAGTACAAAATACAGATACAAACAAAGGTATTTCAAGACAAGCACTGTAACACTTTGTTTTTCAGGAAAAAGAAGAAGAAAGTCTATCTATCAGACATCGAGAAGAATGGAAAAGACAATCAGGTATTTGCGGCTGGAGATATGACCGAGGGCAAGGTTGATCCTTACGGGACGACTAACGGTGAAACTACGCCTCTCTGAACACTAACAACCACCAAATACATGTACATATTACGCCTTTCATCGCATGAAATGGCTTGTTTCTTGACAATTGACCATTATGAAATATATTGATGTCAACATACACGTACCTTCACTCCTCATACACAGGTAACCTAGTAAATAAACGGAATGGTAATTCGTTTGTTTATTTATTTCAGGAACCTGCAATTAGTGACAATACACCACTACTCCTCCAGGAGTCCTCTTTCATACATTGTAGAATACAAAAATTATAACAACTATTTACATTCGCCATCTAATAACAATACTAATAATACAACAAACGTCATTAAGATAACTTCACATTTAACATCAATCAATAACCTTATTAAACAATATCACATTAAAAAAATGTTAGCCTGGATTATCATTCGCTATATATTCGAGTGGAATCGCTTATACGCATGTTGATTACTAGTACCACATGTAACATTTAGTCACAACATTATTTTTTACTATATATAGGTCAAGCTACATAGATGTAGATTATAGGATATCTGAAGAGTGCATACTTTCAGATTTTTTTACTACTGTATCAGTAACATAACATTTATAACATATTTTCACAAAAGTAGGGTGGAAAATCAAGAAATGTTACACATAGATAGAACCAGGAATCAAACTATATCCATGGGATTGGATGGAAGTAATAGAAAGTTGATGTTGACGTGGTTGGAGTTATAGATGAATATATATATCCCTCTGATGATACTGAGTTGCGTTACTTGTTAACAGTGTGCCATTCTTTGATTTCTTGTCGTTTTGTCGTTTATATTTGTTAATGTATATTAAGATAACTAATTTTGACAGTATATCAGACATTCGGGAGTCTGCCATCATACAGAGACCGAATGCTACAACAGAGACTGAGGCTGTCGCTTGTGGAAACCCGCTGGTAATGACTGAAGATGGTCATTTTATGCTTACAGTCGTTAGTCACCAGTAGCTGACCCTGAACCCCTAGGGCCACGGCCGCCGGCCACTCAATACTCGCGACGTGCTTGAGGAACTTGCCGTTACTGTCGAACAGCTCCACTCGGTCGTTTCCGTAGTCGGCCACGATGATGTTGCCTGACTCGTCTGCGCAGACCCCACGGGGGTAGCTCAGGCGGCCATCTTCCGAACCCTTTCCGCCAAACCTGGAGAAATGATTTGATGACGCTTTACTGATGCAAGGTGTTCTATGTCTTTACAAGAAATTTAGATTCAATGTAGGGACAACAAGTGGAATCAAATTTATACAATACATGTAGATTAAATGACTAGTATGTGAATGCCTTGTGTAGATTGTATGTCTCTGATCATCAAGCAATCAACTGAAATCAATTGAAGAAAACATAGATAAATTGGGTGAAGTATTCTACCTACTGATAACAATAGTGCAAACTTAATGACAAAACAGTCGATCCATGCTCACCTAAACATAAAACGCCCACTTTCGTCAAAGACCTTGACGCAGTGGTTCCGACAATCAGACACGATGACGTCACCGAGAAGATTGACGGCTACGTAAGACGGCGTGTCGAACTGGTAGTCGTCCCTACCCATAGTGCCTAGCGTGGCCAGCGGCGATCCGTCTGTGCGGAGGATGATGACACAGTGTTGTCGGACGTCTGTGATCATCACACGGTCGTTTTTGACGTCGTACGCGATGCCCCACGGCTCTCCGTTCGTCTTGACCGTCTTGATGTGGCATCCTCTTGTATCATACACTGTAACGTCACCGGAGGAGTTCGTCACCCAAAGCTGGTTCTCTGAATCTGCGGCTATTCCGTTTGGAATGCTGCTTCTCCGATCTCCGACTGTTCTTGTGGAAAACTCCGATACAAAGTCCCCCTCCATGTTAAAGACTTGGATCCTCTTGTTTCCCCTGTCCACTACGTAGCCGAGACCTTCAGAAATGATCGCGCTGGCAGGTCCGGCAAAGCGACCGGGCTCGAACCCTGGACCGCCGACTTCGGTGTTTTGATGGGAACGATTTTGTCGTCGGGACAGGCGAGGGCTTCTGTTCAAGCGTGGGGAGGGGGGCGTGTGCCACGGGCTCCTACTGACACCCGGTGACGGAGGTGCGTACGCCGGACCAGCGAGCGGCATGATGACTTCCCCGATGTTTTCACCCCCGTTCTCTTCTGCATGGGTCGGGATAAAATAGAACAAACAAAGTTCTGGTACCTCGAACCTTCTCGTCTTGGAGACGACCTCAGAGAGCCTGTCCTCCTCTTCACAGAGAATGTCATAGTCATCTTCAGTTACAACATTTCCGGCGCGCTCGCATGCGGCGGCCAGCTCGCCCAGGTGCTGAAGGAGACTTCCTCTTGTCGTCTGCAGCTCCGCCATTCTCCGGCTCAGCTTCACTTCCAGTTCACCTTCTGCAGACGACAAGTTGGCGTCCCTCTCACCCACGGTTTCCCGCCCACTGTCGTGTATGTCAGTCTTGGCCTTCCTGTGGCTGTTGAGGAGTTCACCTTCTGCGTAGTTCACTCGGCGGAGGAGGTCGCACAGCGTTTCTGTCTGCTCTCGTCCATTGTGAAGCAGAGCGAAGATGTTCTTACGTCTCAGGGTTGTTGCTCCTCGCAGCCCTGCAAATGTAAAAAAAAGACGTTAGATTGAGGCCAATAAAGCTCAATCTTTACTTTTATATTTTTCCGTCATAAGAAACGTTTGCACGTGTACATGTATTGCACAGTTTATTCTGCAAACAAATATATGGACCAGAAGTAGAAGCTGAATAGAATGCATCATTAGCTTCAGGGTTCGCTCTTGATATTAAAAATGCCCCCTTGCTACATGGGCAGACAAATGAATAAATAAATAAATTAATGCATAAAAACATCATTGATAAAATTAAAAGCTTTACAATTAATTATACCATACAAGAGAATATTTTCTACGATTAAAGTGGTGTGGTGTAAAAACGTCGACATATGTGACAACGATAAAATAGTAGTTAGAACTACTGTACATAACTGTAATTAATGTTAAGTATAGGAAAACACCTTACCTGTGACAACATGGCCGTCATGTTCTTCATTCACACATTCCCCGCACACCATCACCTCACACCGGCCACAGAACAGGTTCAGCAGCTGGTCAGGGTGCACCAAACACCGATCCGCCGGGGCAGCCGGGTCGGGTCCACGCTGCACCACTGTCGCCTTGAAGGTTTCTGTGAGACTTGCTATGAAATGGTTGTCTTCGAGACCTGTCCCGAGGAATAAAAGAATCGTGTACTACTTTATGTATGCCTAGTATTTGATTCAAGTCAACATTTTATTTCAACAAAGATAGTAAAACAATATTTGTCTCATCGGCAAATGTGATAATTGAATTCAAAGCCTCCATTCAACAATGCAGGCAGACTTAAAAATGCCCAAATTACACAACTGTCAACAACAGATGCCTTAACTCTTCATTAGCCTTAAACGAAAAAAATGTATAAATTTTTCCACACTAATGATTTTATTTCAAGCAATATCCTCTACTTACGTATAAATAAACTTCGCTAAATCATAGCCGAAATATGCATGCCGTGACTACTGCTAGGTGCAAGACTGTGAAATATTTTGGACAGAATGTACGTCTGTTACCTGCGACGCCATTTTGTGGCAGTGTGACTTCACGTCTGCATGTCGGGCAGCTGAAGCTCTGACGCCTCCCGGCGTGCTTTAGGAGACATTTCTCACAGAAAGTGTGCACACAGGGGAGTATCTTCGGCTGGCGAAACGTCTCGAAGCAAATCCGACAGGAAAGAAACTCCTCTCGTACTTGTTGCCTGAAGCCAGTGTCAGCGGCCGCCATCTTGGTCTCGTGTGTGGTGTCCTTGACTATAGCGTAACGTGCATTCAATGCTATAATCCACCACCTGTATGACAATGATATGAGAACCTAATCTATAGCCTTAAAGTGTTCACTTCAAAGGCACTTCAGTCGCGTCTCTGATGCACTTACTCACTACCGATAGCACTCCTTGCCCACTGTACACGTATTAGAGTTGAACTCTTCTAACACACAATACCTTGTCGGGGTCTCTCTGGTTTTACGTGTAGCTTGAGAGTCCAAACACTAACTTGTAGATACAGAGAAGACTGTAAAGGAGCTACAACATATTCGTTACACAGCAAAATGGCTTCCATACAAGCTCGCTGACACAGAGCCACAACAAAATGAAGCAGCGTTAAGACAAAAACCGCCACTGGCGACAGTTAATAACATCTCAGTAGTCATATAAAGAAACACATATACACCTCGTCGGTGACGTATTTTGCACACGTTGCCCCTTCCTTTGTAAGCAATGACAACTCTCTGGTTGAACATTAAAAGGCGAAGATTTAGACAGGCTTTGTTTGATAAGTTGTAAGGCAAGTCCTCAGATTTAAACGGATGTTAAACATACCAGGGAAAGTCAAAAAGAAATGCCATGTTTTCATCGAAGCTTAAATTCTTCTATACAAGACGAGTTGAAAATTGGCACAAACGTGAAGACACATATCTTTCTAGACTAAAATATCAAATTTTCAGATATATATGGTTCACAGAAAGGACATTACGTGACTCCCCCTCGTGTTATCAGACTCTAGTCAAGGGTGAATTCGGAACAAAGAAGGAATGACCTTCGATGCGCCTGCATGGGTTAAGCAGTTACAATGAAGACCCGAGGCATAGCACACTAGTGTACTCTTCCGTGGGAATGTAGTACAAAAACTACCAATGACGGAAAATGTGTACCGATGGGCTATGTATATTGAAGTGAATGCTGCCTACTAATGGTCAAAAACTGTAATTATGAGTCTTAGCGCTATAGCATACAGTAGGCCCTTATTCCCACTTAATGAGCACTATTTGTCTTACAGTTTGAAATGTCAAAGGGCACTGCTGAGAGATAACAAGGTGTGAAATCAAAGGAGAGATAATTATAGTGTCTCCACAAGCGATCAAGTCACGCCCCGTTAACTGGGACTTTAAGTGACAGTAAAGTCTGTTAACATTATTTATGGCCAGAATTAGGAGATACAGAATTAGGTCAGGGCCTGGTGGTGTCTTGGCTGGCAGCCAGACCTTCGTAGGCTTCTCTGTATCTGTACTGGGAGTGCTGTATGCAGAAAAGTGTTTTATATACATAGATACTTCTGACAGACACTGTACACACGAGATGATCTTTTTATCAACGACCAAAATATGAGTTAAACTGCTATTGTTTATAATGATATCTATATTTACAATAGGGATCAAGACCCGATGTTTGAAATATTGATCATGATGTCTTTAATGATTGTTTTCCAATGGGTTTATCTTGTAGTAATGGAAAATCTATTGTATTCCCTGTCCATGAGGCCGAATAAAACTCTACTCTTTAAGAGAGACATCAATACTCTGCGACGGGCCCTCATGCTGTCACGTAGCCATATGAAGTTCATGGTCAGCATTCCAACATGGCGGACTTTGACCAAGTTCTGAAGAAGCACATCGGAGAGCTGGGGCCGTATCAGCTATGGTGGTGTTTCCTTGTGTATCTCCCAGCTATACCGTGCTGTATGCACATGTTCTCTATGGTGTTTATTGGGGCTACTCCGGTACATTACTGTGCAACGCCAGAACTGGATTTGATGGACCTGTTGTTGCAGCGAAACGCTAGCTGGGCTGAGAGGATGAATGCAACCATTCCCTGGGAGCTAACAGACGGTGTTTGGCACCACAGTAGTTGCACAAGGTTTGCCCATCTCTGTTCTAATTTGATGGGGGGGGGGGGGTATTTGAGAGTGCGCACTGCCAGCAACATTGTGGATTGTGCCAAAAAAGACGTGCGTAAATAAGATAAGAGGGTAAGATCAACATATATTACGCTAACCGTTATATATGTAACTTGATCTGCTATCAAACGCATGCTTGTCGTGCTCAGAAGCCATGTTTATTCCTTCCAAAATTGTATTCTTTGTAATCCCGGCCTTTTCCGATAGATGGCGATCACTGAGCAACCATTGAGAGGCCAATGGTTTTACAAATAAAATATGATGCAAGAAATTGTGACTTAAAAGAAAAATTAGAGTTTAAAAAAACGTAAAGAAAGATTTGTTTTTGATTTATGAAATTCGTTCAGAGGCTGTACATATCAAAGTCCAGAGATTTTATGGTTTTATTACGACACAATGTGACGACAATCTATAAATCATGCCGGAGAAAGGAACAATTACTGTTGATTTCATATATGCAAAACCTTGGCCCACTTGTAGTGCTGTAGACACAAGGCTTTGTTTGTGTTCTCTATGTTTAAAACACGCTTGATCAACGTGGCAAAGATACTATTTTTATCATTTCAAGAAATATTTCCACGTTTAATTTCGTCTTTCCAGATACAACCTGAGTGACGAGTACAGTAATTTGGCCCCGACCAACACCACAGCTGAAACATTCAACTTGGCGGCCAATCTCTCTATCACAGGATGCGATGCAGGATGGGAGTACGACCGGTCACAGTTCCACACCAGCGTCACAATGGAGGTTATGAATTCCCTGCTAAACCTAACAGAAAATAGTTTATAGAAAACTTGATTTTGTTCGTTCAATTTTACGATATCACTTTAATTGTATGATTGGAAAGCTTATTATCTACTCTTTGAAATGATACTTAAATAATCTTGAGTGGACCTGAAATTTTAGTGACGAATGTTCAAGGTCAAATTTATCTATTTGTTTTGCAGTTTGACCTAGTGTGCAACAGAAAATGGCTGAACAACTTGGCACAGTCCATTCTTATGGTAGGGGTGCTCTGTGGAGCAGTTCTTTTTGGCGATCTCTCAGACAGGTAAGCTAGTACGTTACAGGGTACAAAGTTAGCAAGTGACTTGCATGTAACTAATAGTTTTCAGCATTATAGCAACAGTGAATTGTTATCATCTCAATATTTACCTCCATGTACGGAGGTTTTGTTGACGATGTGTTTGTGTGTCCGAAGAGTTAGTTATTTGAATAGAGCTCTGACTGTTTGATAAATTGGCCAGATTTCATATTGTTTTTTCAGGTATGGAAGAAAGTTGACGTTCTTTATAGTGCTGAGTCTACAAGTTATATTCGGCGTGGCGAATGCCTTCACCCACAGCTACGCAGCCTTTGTCTGTCTGCGGTTCCTAGTGGGAGCCTGTGCCTACCCAGTCTTCATGATCGCCTTTGTTATTGGTAAGTTTTATAAACTCTTCATAACATCTGTGCGTTCTGCACATGTGCTGTTAGATTTATATGAGGCTACGACGAGAGTGTGTTTTAGGTGAAAGGAAAAAAATTCTTTTATCCATTTAACTCTTAGAGGATGCAAAGAGATGCAACGAATTGAAGAAATACTGAGTGTGACTATAGGACGTATTCGCCTTTGGCTGAAGTTGCATCTAGATGACATTGAAAGTTAAAAGATGAAACACTGACAAAATGTTGTTCTATTCCTCAGGACAGGAGATTGTCGGGCCGTCCAAGCGTGCCTTGGCCGGGAGCGTGATAGAACTTGCCTTTGCAGCTGCCATCATGGTGCTAGCCGGTCTCGCCTACGCCATTCGGGAGTGGACCTTCCTACAGCTGGCCATCACACTGCCCAGCGCGGTGTCCATCCTATCGTGGTGGTGAGCCTCATGGTGCATGACTTATCATTACCTTCGTGGAAGAGGTTCTCCTTCCACGGGGTACTGTTTTAAGTTGCGTTTGTGTGCTCGCACCTATAACTCACGATCCACTTGATGGATTTGTTGGAATTTTGGTATGAGAGGAGATATTGAGGTCCGGAAAAAATATGGGGATTTTGAACCATTTTAGTGTATCTTCGGATACCGCAGCATAATAGGTGGACATCACCAAAGGTCGAGTGGTATACATGGTTCAGAACACGTTGCCACCGCGCCGCGTGCCTGATTGCATACAAATGTGCCCCTGAAGGTCACTGACCTCTTATGGGTAACTCTTGTGTATAGGTGAGCCAATCTGTAATAAACGCTAAGCGTAATTTTGTAACCCTTTCCTTTGTATCGGTAACACCAGGTTGATCCCTGAGTCACCGCGGTGGCTGATCGCCAGAGGGAGGGTAGAGGAGGCGATGGAAGTCATTCATCTGATGGCCAAGAGAAACGGGAAGACCCTTCCCTCTGATCTAGACCTAGACGTTAAGACACGCGTACGGGTAATCACTGATACAAAATCTACTCGCTATAACAGCAATATCAACAGCAACAGATACACGTGCATGTCTGTGTCACAAATTGAAAAATGTTGTCACATTTACCGTGTCCCCCCGGCGTCATTGGTTTCATGTAAGAAAGATCATCCGGCAAATACAGTATATTTAGTAACTGTCTGGTGCTAC